AACTTCCTAACACATTCTTTAAAACAAATATAAATTAAGCTCTCTTTGACTGAAATAAATATTTTCATAGGATAAGATAAGTATAAGAATGTAAATAAACTGTACTTGCAAAGTTAATACGTGGCTCAGTATGAAAGCGATTTATTCGCAATCGACGGATCCTAAATTCGATCCTACTCCCAAAATCCTCTATTTTATAAGATTGTCAAAAGTTACAAGTGTAAAGAAGTATATAATAAATAGTAGCCGGCTTCGGGAACCCATACTTCACGGTTTATTTACACTTACATAAATTGACTTGTACAATATCAACCATAAATCAGGGTAAAAATAAGTTACATTTATTTCAATATTACTAATGTTTCAATATTAATAATGTTTCATAATATTACAAACACAAACTAAATAATTCCTCTCGAGTTTTCTCACAATATATGTAATCGATAAATCGTTTTAAAAAAACGGATCCTTCTCTATCGACGCATAAAAAATATGAATGTATTTTGTAACGATGTCCACCGTGTCATGTGTTTTGTGAGTGTTTCCTTTTAATGATATATTATCCATAATGTATCATACATATTAAAAATCACGTATTAACCTGTTCGAGGCGCCAATATATGATTGCACGATGCTGAAATTTGCATCGCTCAGTGCTTCATATCTCTCTCCCAGGCCAATCTTAACATATTACACTTATATCTAATTTCTAGTGTACTTGCCCCAGATATGAAGCATGAATACAGACGCAATGAATAAAAGGGACATTACTAGCACTGGCACAGGTCCCCTGCAACAAAACAATTTCAATATTTATTAAAACACTATTAAGACGTATCATGTAAAGGCAAATTAATGTTGCAATAGAGAATTAAATTATCAGTGTTATAGCAAATGATATTATAACAGATAGATACTTTGAAGCGTTTAATTTACTAATTTAAAACAAATTTTACTAACTGACCAATCAAAGTATCAATAGCATTACGTTGATTTACGTTGGCTCTTAATCAGCTGATCTATACTTACACTTTGATGCCAGGAGAGTCATCGGTGTAGAACCTCCACATGCCACCGGAGCTTGTACCGGTATTCCTGTTCCTGGCGGAGGAAGTTACAGTGGTTTTTCTCTGTTTTACTGTACCACTACCACCTGTTCTTGGCGCTATGGCTTTGCTGGGTGATCGTCCAACAGATCCCACGGAAGTAGCACTAGGTGCAGCAGGCTTTTTCCAAGAAATAAGAACACGCGTCAGTCTTCGTTTATAAATTCAAACATTATTATTCAAATTAATTATACTCACCATGGTCAAACTATTCTTATCGACAATCCAAGAGGATACTAAGAGATTCGTTCAAAAACTTCACTCACGCTCGAAATACTTCAACGGTGCTTGCGTTGTAGAAACAGTGCTTTCATAAAATACAGATTGTTTACAAGTTGAGACGCATGAACGGGATACTCGGAAGACAATTCGTCGTTTGCTTCTCTCTTCTTCTGACCACCTCTTTGTGCGAAAATCGACAGCAACGTGGCATCAAAATGTATATTAACGTACCACTCGTCGGGCGATTCGAACGCAGGCTGGTGGTACAACGCAGAGTAGCAGGCGACGTGTCAAATGTATGCCATACACGTGGTACGTGACGAACACGTCATCGTCGTCGCTACGTTTACGTTTGACATCCACGAATCAGCGCGGGTTATAATACTGGACAAAATACCACGTATGCCATGTTTAAAGGAGCCTTTTCATGTCGACGCTTATTTTAAACGTCAAATATTAATTTTTTTAATAATAAATTTATACGTAATAAATATTGCTTCATCTCGCAGAGATAAGAATTTTTCGCAGGCGTCCAATTTTTCACGCCATTCCCCCAACATATTTCTGACATTTTTGGTCCATAGAGCACGTTTACTATTTCGAGGAAATGTATTCATTACATAGCCCTTGACTACTGAATTATTACAAAATGGGGAGGGGGCTGCACACCCAATCATTTTTAATAATTATTTTTGGTATAATTGATTACAACGTGTATTTATGTATGTACACGTTAGATTAGAGTACTATGCTGAAACGACCAATTAGACCAGCTCGTGAAAATGTACCTTTAAGCTTTAAATTTCAAGTGGAATGCAATCTAGATATGTTAGATGTCATTGCCTGAAACATATTTCTCTGTTGAATTTAAATAATAACAAATAATAATTCATAACAATTCATAAGAAAAATGGAGTCGGATGGTGAGTTATCTGAAAATGAAGAAGAAATGCTCGTATATGTAGAATTTGAGGGACTTACTGGTAACGAAATGTTCGATAATAAAGATCTTCAATTGGATATGATTGGAATAGATACTGAACATCCTATAATGGAAATTAATGGACGGGTATGCTGTATTTTACTATTTGTAGAATTTAATAAGTGAAAAACGAAGTATAAATCATATTTAAACTTTATAGCTTGTTTTTAGAATGTGCTTTTATCAATAAAAGCGCACTTTTGTTTCTAAAATTCTGTAGTATATGTAATGTTAATTACATGCTAAATGCACACTAATATTGTTATAAACGAATCCCGAATAAACTCATGTTTATTTCCTTTTTAGATTTAGTTTTATCTAGTTTAGACAAAATCATTAGTTTAATAATAGTAATTAATAATAGTATTATCTTCGAGACAGTTTTCTTCGAAAAAAAAAAAAAACGACTCTTGTATGATTAAGAGCTTATATTTAGTTAACATGGAATACAAGGAATTGTAATATAAAGACGCCAATTGTTATGTTTTCTCCGAAAGGAAAATCAGGATACTTGTTTGATTAAGAACTTATATTTAGTTAATATGGAATATAAGGAATTGTAATGTAAGATGAGAAGAAAAGCAGCTGAGAGTCAATTCACTAATCAATAGTTAGTTGCTAAACAATCCTCATTACTTCTTTCATAGACTGTAACAAATAGCTAGAAAAACAAAATTATCGTCAAATGAGGTTAGGTCTAAACCTCACTCAATAATTTTATTCTCTATTATTAATCATTAATGCCCATTTCCATCAATGTAGATTAACTTTAATCTCGGTTTAACTTACTCTTCTTCTTTTTCTAGTTCTAAAGATTAGAAAAAAAGCAAAGAGTAAGTTGAACCGAGATTAAAGTCAATCCACATTGGTGGAAATAAGCATAAACTGATGGTTTTGTCATGATAACTTTAAAAGTTACCATAAAAAACATTAATTATAGCTAGAAAAATATAATTTTTACATTATGGCCAACTGGGCTTGGCATGTATTTGAAATACTTTTATTAGTAGCAACTGGAGATGACTAAGTAAAGTTGAAACATTCTGTTATTAATTTATGTAATAAGAAATTATTTTAAATTATTTATCTATATTAGGTGCTTGTTATTTTTACCTGTGTTTTATTATTTATTTTAAAATACTTATATTTGAGAAAGAGTATTTGTAAGACAATTATATTTTGTATTTTATATTTTAATAGAGCACATGAAAATATTTTGTATTTCATAGGAGCATATATGGTAAAAGTATTTTATATTTTGAACACTAAGATTGACAATTTCATTATTTAAATAACAAGATACATAATTTTTTCAATCTCTTGATTTTAAATACAAAATATATAATATTTTGATATATTATTCTGCTGAAGTACAAAATATAAAATACTCTTGTATTGCAAAAACTGTATTTTAAATAAAAGTATTTCTATTACATGTTCCCTCAGTTCTCATCATCAAGTTAAATTCAACTACTTAAATTAATTAAAAAATAAATTTTAATCGTTTTGTATTTTTAGTTTTATGAGGGTACTTATGAAGATGCTGTAGGCACTTATATGTTCTTTGAGAAAGATGACAATCCAAAAGTGGACGATGAGGTATTCGATAAAGTGCCGACTCTAAAGTATTCTGCTAAAACGAGAAAGTTACTTAAGATGCAGAGGGTGTTCACAAAGCCAAGAGTCGAAGTCCTCGGTGATGCTGAACATGAGAGTTGTATTCCGAATGAAGAAACGTTAGCACAAGCTGGTGTGCCTCCAAAGTATCAAGAGGAAGGTAATAGAATGAATTTCTTCAGTTTGTGTATTTTATTTAACATGAAAGCAATTTATTTTAGCCATGCAGTTCTGGAATAAAGTACGTGATGAGAAACTAGAAGAATTAAGCATATTTTTGGAAAAACAGAAAATTAGGGAAGAGAAAACATCTAAAGGTATTGCATTGGATTCAGAGTCTGATGAGGAAAACCCTATCGTACAAAAAACCAAAGAAAAATCAGAAGAAACATGAGAAAGTAAGATGTTTTAAAATTCTAATTAAAAATTTAATATTTAAAGAGATTAATGTTCTTAATATGAGGATTGTATATTAATAACATAAAACTGGCACAGTAACATCAGTGTTTTGGATATTAAACTATCGTATGGAAGGAGCAATTATAATTTTACTTACATGTAAGAATATAAATTAAATATTAATTTTTTGCTGCATCGCTTTGTTTAATTTAACAATAGAAAAATGTTTTATTTTTCAATTTTGTTCTCATATTTTACAATTTCAATTCAATTTTAAATATATCGTATATTTAGTATACATATACCATATATTTATTATATATTTAGTATACATATACTATATATTTATTATATATTTAGTATAGATATATAATTATAAGAAATAATTTATTGACACTTTTTTACTTTGAACATAGAAAGTATAAAAAAGAACATTTCATATATCATTTTACTTGTAATTTTTTTTTATGTAATCATACGTTTTTCATATGAAGTGTAGTTATAAAATACTGAATTGAATCCAAAAAGTACAGATATTTTCTATTAGATATCCTAATAAAAAAATAGAAAATAATCTTATTTATCCTTATTTTACATACTTTATATAATATATCTGTTATAAAAATTCAAACTTAATAATTAAAATTCGATCATTACAGTTTAATATTTTATGTAATATCTAGATACGCGAATATATCTATAATAACTCTTCGTTTACATACATCTTTCGTGATCTTTATGTAGCATAATGATCTTTATGCGAATCTGCATCGTGCAACTTTGGCGGTTCAGAACTCCGCTTATAATACAGCTAATTTGATGTTTTTTCAATTTTAAAAATTTGAAGAAAAAAGGCAAGGAACTTTGCTTCAGTGACGTTAATCGAAAAACATATTAGTAAAAAATTTATTAAAACTCTAAGATGTATTATGTTTTCAAATTTCTCAAGACTTATTTTTCATCCAGTGTTGAAAATGGATAATTTTATTTCCTATTTGAAGAATACTATAGATATTTATGCATGAAAGTGCAGTGATGACTTCAACTTTTTTTACAAGCAGGTAACAGCATTAAAATATTAATTTTAGGATTAATTTTATAGCTGTAAAAAATGTTGGTGCGAATTCACATCTGTGTATTAACGAAGGGATAATATAACACTTTGTTAAATCGTACATTGCAGAATGCTACGTATTCGTTATTTTCTTTCAGAAACCTGAGTTTTGTTTGATTTTAGAAAAAAATAACGCGTCTCTCTCTCTCTCTCTTTTTTTTTACCAGTCGAGGTCACCAGGTAATTCATCTGGATACTCTCCTGTTAGGCAGGCAGTACAGTGACCGATGTAATTACTTTCGCGATTGTCCATGCGATATCTGACCGCCTCGACAAGCCCCTCGACTGAAAGGTACGTTAAACTGTCTGCTCTCACGTGTTTGGCCAATTTTGTATTGTCAAGCTTATTCGCGATAAGTTCTTCTCTCGTTGGAATGTTGATGCCCATGTAACACGGATACTTCAGCGGTGGCGAGGCTATTCTGATATGAACCTGTAAATGTGACATGACGAATATACTAATAAATATAAATAGAAAGAAAAGATATTAAGAAAACTTACCTCCTTAGCGCCTGCATCCCTTAAGAGTTTAATAATCGGACCGATTGTATTACCCCTCACGATAGAGTCATCAACTAGAACTATTCTCTTTCCTTTTACATTTTCAGACAAAGCTCCGAATTTTTTGGCTACTCCGAGCTGCCTCAGTCGCGTGCTCGGTTGAATAAATGTTCTACCTACATATCTGTTTTTGCACAGCACTTCAGCGAAAGGTATTTTAGACTGTAACATTAAAAAGAAAAAAGTATTGTTTAGACATAAATTGCACGTTATATTTGCTCGGCAATTATGCTGCTGATTTTGCATTTACTTGTCTGGCGTATCCGTGTGCCGCTGCAGTTCCCGATTCTGGTACAGAACTGACAATATCTGCTTCAACCGGAGATTCCATCGCTAGCACTCGTCCACATTGCATACGAACGGAATATACCATTTGACCTATATTACAAATGAATAATTAAACATATCTCTCAATCTCTCTATCGCGCTATATTCTCATTCTTATTTACGTACCTTCAAAAATGCTGTCACTCCTAGCGAAGTAGACGTACTCAAAGATACAAAATGCTTGTGGTTTTTTATTTGGCCTTTCCACTATCTCTATCGTTTTAATACCCTCTCTAGTCAGCTCCACAATTTCGCCAGGAAATACTTCGCGAACATATCTTGCGCCGATACTTAAGAATCCGCAAGATTCCGACGAAATTACCCAGCCTTCTGCTTCATCGTCATCGTCATCGGACTCGTTACTTGCTGCAATTCATGTTATTATTTTGTATTAGAGAATCATTAAAATAGACATTCATTTCTATTAATATTTCAATATGCACCTAAATTGCCAATTGGCACAATTTTTCCTAAACAAAGAGGTCGATTTCCGTAAGGATCTCTAACGCCATAAATTTTGTCCCTATGCATTATAACTAAGGAGTATGACAACGGTGCCAATTGCATAAGGTGTTTGATACGTGCAGGCCAATCTGGTCCATTGACTTCACCTTCCGGCGGATTCAAGCAGAGTGCTTGTGTTATAAGCTCCGAGTCCGAATGCGTTGATAAACCAACGCCTCGACCTAATACCTGAACATACATACGAGATTAAAACGAAATTCAGATTTGATCGACAAGGATTGTTAACGTAAATTTTTCCTTCGTATTACCATTTTTCGAAGAGATTCCGTATTGACTAATTCTCCATTATGTCCAACTGCTAGTGCCCCGTGCGCAGTGTGTACCACAAATGGTTGACAGTTGACTTCTTCACTGGCTGCACTTGTACTATATCTGGTATGACCAACCCCAAGATTTCCTTTGAGTTTTCTCATAATCTCGTCGGTGAAAATATTATTGATCATTCCCATACCCTTATGAACATGGAATGACTTGGAGCAGATACCCTCGCTTGTAACGATTCCAGCGCTTTCTTGTCCTCTATGTTGCAACGCCACTAAACCTGATTGAGTAAAAATAAAAAATTGTTTCGTCTTCTGATTCGTATTTTTTTCTCTCTTATTGTATATACATTTATACACTTTTTTATTTCAGTTAATTTCTATTACACACAAAGTGAATCTACCTAAACAAATAACTTGAGCAACATCAATTTGTGATGGCCAGTCGCCTGCAGCTATACATCCGAAAACACCGCATTCGTGTGTAAGACCAGTAGATGTTTGTCCCCTGGTTTCACCTTTGCTTCGTGGTTTCGTACATTTTGATTCCTCCGTGGAAAGACGAGACATTGTTTCAGCACAATGTTCGCTATCTTTATCGTGAAACGTTTCCATTGCGATCTATCACAAATAAAATATGTTAAATTTAGCAGTAGTAATTAAGATAGTTAAGACAGATAGATTGGATTAAAAAGTCATTAAAAAAAACATGAAATGATCATAAATACGCTTTTATCAATGTTAAATTATTATATATTTCTCATATTGTACAATTAATAACTTTTAATAATTATAATGTACTAAAATTTAAATTTTTCTCTGGATTTAGATATATACTCTTCCATTGAAACTTAATATATTATATTTGGTTTATAAAGATTTTTCATGTAGATATATATACTGGATATAAATGATGTATTGTATATATCCTACTAAAGTGCCTAAAGAGAGAGTAGATCCTTTCGTAATTCCTCTTTATGTATTATCTGTATTGCCCTTGTAAACTATTGACCCCCAGCGGACTCTTCTGATAGAATCCACATATCTTACGTTTATTCAATGCTACAACTATGTTTTCTCATCACGTTTGCGCAATCTGCATTTCGCAACTGATTTCATCATTTTACATCGTACTGACATCACAAATATCATAATATAGAACAGTTATATTTGTGTTTACAACAAATCGATCCTTTCACATCACGCGAGAAATTGCATCATATTTTTCTGCAATGAGATAGTTTTCCTGTGTCAGTTACAAACTACATATAGATACGAAAGTAATGTTATCTTTTTTTTTTTACTTATCTTACGTTCTCTAGTTCGATTCAATATTAATTCTCAAAGCTAGACAAAATTCCCAAGAACAAATATAAAAGATAAACTCATGTAACTTATTTATTAGAAAAGAAAGCTCGAATTATTTTGTTATAAATATTAATTTTGATGAAGCAAGTTAAATGGATGACACTTTTATTCTGTTATCTAAATCTATGTAAAGAAATATAATTTAAAGTAATAATTTTAAGGAAAAATTATAACATTAACTTACGATTCTAAGAGATATTTCTGAAGATATTAATACTGGTAGGGATTACAACAATAAGTATTCTGTTTTTCAATCATGAAAGAGAAATATAGATTTTTCTTACGAGTAAACTGAAGGCAAGACTGATTAAAATGTATTATATATTCATCTCTCAGAGAGAATGCTTTTCTGTCGCTAGTCATTGAATTTACAGTTGCGTCGATTTATTTGAACTAAAATAAGCAAAAATAAAAGAATTTAAAGAAAAACGAAACTGAACAGAATGCATAAAAATATTTTCGTCTATGCACATGAGATCCATAACTTTATTGTCAATATACTTGTATTTATCGTGAATCAGTTAAGAAACTGCTGACAAATTTAAAATGATATTTGATATGTGTGAAGATATGAAATTAAGCAGAATAGAGCGAAGAAATGCAATAAAAAATGTCCAAACGCAATAATTTTTTATACGAGATGATTTCGATTAATTTAATTCCGATTAATTTAATCGGCAGTTAACTCGAATTGCTTAAAATAAAATCTTTAATATATAATTCCTTGTTCTTAATCTTATTTTCGATACAATAAACAAAAATTTCATAATTCTAGTAAATAATTTAATAATTCTATTCGCGTATTAACAAAACATGATTACAAAATAAAATGTAGACGTTGCTTAATGAATTGAATTAAATACTTAATTTAATTAATAATTAATGATTAAGCTAATTCAAGTTCGATTCAAGTCACCCATATATTTCTCTTAATTCCTCGTTCTGAAAGTTTGCGCTATTCCGATAAAAAATAAGACTTTCTTACATATTGAGAAGGAGTTATACGCAACGAATATATAAGGCCTGTTTTTTCTATGACTAAGCTAATATACACTTTTGGAATTTAAAGTAGAATAGGTATATATGTTTGGCGAAAGCGAGAAAGAGTTCTAGTGTAGTCTAGTGCAGACCTATAATAAAAGGCAGACTATAATAACCCATGGAAACCGTTTTTCCCGAAGCCAGAAAGCACAAAACATTATTTTCATTATTCGTAAAACTGAAAAATTACAAAAATCAAGTGTAAATTTCTTTCTCGTTTATCAAGGACAAATTACACTAGAAAAATGTTTTATTCTTTGAATTAAAATTTTAGAAAATTGAAACAATTTTTTAGTAAAAAGTATCGAATAAAATTGTTAAATTTTGCGAATTAAATTGTTTAGTTGGTATAAACAAATATTTTTGTTATTTACAAATACAAAACAAAAAAATTATTGCAAAAATAACTAAATTTTTGTTATCTAAACAAAATATTTGGTTTCTTTTAAAAAAGATTTCCACCAAAATAATTTTGCTGAAGACACTAAGACCCAGTTTCACAACTCATGTGATCTGTTCTTTTTAGCTGAACTTCATCTTTCTTCTTTTTTTTTCTATGTTGAAAAGAAAAAAAGAAAAGATGAATTGTGCGAGAACTTTAGCTAAAAGGAACAGACTTATAATTAATTCTTAACCGAGGTTCAACTTATTCATTATCTCTTTTCAATTCTAGAATTAAAAAGAGATGAGAAATTTGTTGAACCTCGGTTAAGAATTAACCGTGAGTTATGAAACTAGGTTTAAATCTTTTTTCCTGAGTGTACAAATATAAAGATACATATACCTTAAAGGATAAGTTTTTTATTAAATCAACTCATTGTTTTCATATTGGATATAAGTTCACATAGCAAATTAGACTCGTACGATCTCAATGGGTTTATTAACACTGTTAACAGTGTGACACGAAATAACGTAATGAAGCTAAAGATCGTAAATTATCCAAGTTTGCGACAGATGCTGCGGACGAAGGATCGCACATAGAACACATGATTGGCCTTCTTTCCATAGGTTCTCACTATGTGAAGATTCCACGATCACAGAAAGGAAACTCCTTGTTTAAGAAACTACTTTTCGAGTTATGGAATAATGAAAACGGACGCGAATAAATAATGTGCGAATCACGCTTGATTCGTGAGGATCCTAGTAGAGATCCGTATGAGGAAGCGATACACGTACCTCCACGTGTGCCGAGTGCGTGCAAAGACACGCCGAGAAACGTTCTCGTGCTCCTCGCTTCAGGAATACGTCTGGTTCATATGAAACGTGTGCTTCGTATTCCAAACCACAAGTCACAAATTGGAACAACGGGGGTACCTAGTGACAGCCAATGAGGAAGCTCACTGCCTGCCGGAGGGGCTCGCTCCGTTTGATCGGTGCGACCATTATCTCTTCCTTCTCGAAGAAGAGGGACGATGCGGGAGGATGTGAGTGCAACGCCGCATCGATTCAAAAGACGAATGGACCGTTTCTCAAAGAGATAATATCTCTCTCTTTCTCTCTTTTTCTGTTTCTTTCTTTCTCTCGTTTACGACGACATCGGAAGTAATTGGCATGGATCACGCTAAACGTTAGGATCGATCAAGGATAGAGCACTTAAAGACGTTTCGATATTAGCTGTACAATATTAGCTAAAAGTATCAGCAAAAAATATCAATCTTAGCTAGAAATTAACTGACAAAGTTTTGTCATAGATACGCTCTGAGGCCAACTATAAAAAAAAAACAAAACAAATAATTTGGAGTTTATAATGGCTTTATGCGACAAAATATGTATTTTGCAATTTTAAGTAAATAACTTTTACATAAATAGATAGATCCAAATAAACTTGTGTATGAATTTATTGAAGTTTTATTAGTATATATAAAAAATTCGATTTAATTTGTAATGCTATGACCTTCTCACTTTGCAAATAATTACAAAACGCCAATTTACATCGGAATTAAGACTAACAAAACAATTAAAAAACTTTTAAACTAATAAAAGAATTGTGTCCAAATTTTACACGGATATACTAATAACGTTTTAGACATAATTGAGTTTTAAAAAGTAATTATATAAATAATTTAAAATTATAAATAAATTATAATTAAAACTCCAAAAATTAATCAAAACAGAAACAAATTGTCAATATGAACTGCTGTTATTGATGTCTATAATTAATCATATGTAATAATAGAATAATCTAAAATTTTTGTATATATTTTTATTTTGAGATGTAATATATATTCTTATAATGTAAGATGTAATATCCTTAAGTTAACGATGTTTACGTCATTTGCCATGTGATTATAGAAATTAGCCGCCTCTCATTGCCAATAACACATTAGCATGATCTCGAACGGACGTGTAATTGCGATGTAATTTTGTTTGAATTTTGTAAAGTGCCGAAGGTGGAAAATTCCTCTTCAATAATCTCTTTTGTTCTTATGATAATTGGCAAAATTTCCACGCTCTCGAAAGATTAGTCAGCGGAAATGCCACGGTCCAATTTTATCGTTGAATTATTTCTATTACGTAATGTATATGTCGTAATTCTATATGAGTTACAATTGATACTCATAGCGATATACTATCGATATATACTCATTTCCAGACTTGTATGGATAAAAGAAAATAGTTTATAATTACTTTTAGAATTATATTATTTATATTAAAATTATTCGAATTATTTAAAAGGAAACAAATTGTGAGCCGCTGCGGTTATTGGTACATAATATTAATATATTAAAAGATCTACTTTGAGTTCATCTTACTCTTAACGTTCGAACTTTTCCTCGCTATTTTTAACTCAGGACTCTTAATCCATAATAACAGTCAACATTTTATCTTTTGACCTTGTATCGTTGACTATCTTTAATTTGGATGTTCAATTTAACCATTATGAAAGAGAATTCGAACCATATTATGTTTGTTTTTCCGTAATTATTTATTTAAACCGAAGAGGATTCAAACTCAGAGTTAAAACGTTTGTAAATTTTACAACTAAATTGATTTATTATTATATTAACTATAGACATCAATAACCGCGACAGTTCACATTGGTAATTTATTTTTCTTTTCGATTTATTTTTGGAGTTCCACTGTTTATTTGTAATGTTTAATTATTTATGTAATTACTTGTGATTAAATTTAATTAAAAGTTAAGTAAAAACTTTTAGTTAAAGATAATTATAATTAATATTAAAATTATAATTATTAATAATAATGTACAATTACAAAACATAATTATTTACAATTTATAATTTAATTTATATATATCCAATGGAGAGGACATTATATTGTGACAATTAATCTAAGACTCGGTTATCTATTAATCCACAGCGAACTTTCTAGAATGTGTTTCGTAAATTTACTCGATAAAATATACGAGTTATAAGAGAAATAACTTATTCCGATGTGTACAATGAGAAAAATATTATTCGTATGATTTTTCGTTGTTGTGATATCATGTTGTCGTAACGAGAGAGCTCCAGAGAAGTTCCGAGCCAATCGGAAATCAGGCAGACAAAGATCGTAGTGGGGATTGCTAAAGAAATGTATGTGAAATCAAGGGACTTACGTTCATTCCAATAGTAGACGTTAGAGCAGCTGGAAAGATGGCTAGTAAGTTCGTTAGAAGCATTAATTTGATTGATTTTTCCGCTTATGTTCAGTAGAAGCATAGACAAGTATAACGATTTTCGGACACGTGATATTAATCATGGACGTGAATCTCGTGACGTTTGTGTCTGAATAATTCGAAGCAATCCTACTGAAAAAAAACATAAAGGGATAAACGGATTTTGCCAGAGCAACAGGTGGTCGATAATGCACTGCTCATACACCGGCCGGTGTTTCATACAAGTGCTCTAACATATCTGTACTTTATGTAGTTTACAACAAATATTATTACAGCTTAACTTCAGCTATGTATCTGAAAAATTAATCAATGGATATTTGTATGAAAATTATATAATTAATTAATGGGCTATTGATGAAAATAATATATTTACATACAATCTCGAAACATTCACTCAAAGGAGGGGAAAAAATCGACTTGTTTTCTGTATTTGTTATAAAATAAAAAGAGATTTGTTTCGTAATCAATATTAAAAGATAATTTTCTCTCTTCTGTTTTTTGTAGATTATAAACTTGGGAAAGTTATCAACGAAGGAAAAACGAAGAAGGTTTATGAACTTCTAAATGATCCTACCTTATGTTTGCTGGAAAGCAAGGACCGCATTACCGCTGGCGACGGCGCAAAGTCTCATGCATTAGAAGGCAAAGCGACGATTAGCACATCTACCACCATAAAGGTCTTCGGGTTGCTCAATCAAGTTGGTATCAAGACAGCTTACGTCAAATCCGCCGGTCCAAAGTCTTTCATAGCAAAGAAATGTGACATGATACCAATTGAATGGGTTACTAGAAGACAGGCAACTGGTAGTTTTCTAAAAAGACATCCCGGTATGTATGTGAACGTCAATATCTTTCTCTTGGACTTAACAGAGTTGAAGAAAATGTTAGAATGCTTAGAATGCGATACTATTCATGTACAATTGTTTCAGGGGTACCTGAGGGCTACAGATTCAATCCGCCTTTGCAGGAAACGTTCTTCAAGGATGATGCTAATCACGATCCACAATGGTCTGACGAGCAAATTATTTCCGCGGGCTTCCAATTGGGCGGCAGGAAGATAACGAAGGATGAAGTAGATATTATGAAACGCACTACTGTTGTCATTTTTGAGATTCTTGAGAGAGCTTGGACAGTACGTAATAGTTCGCTGATAGATATGAAGATAGAATTCGGTGTGGATTCAGATGGAAAAATTTTGTTAGCTGATATTATCGACAGTGATTCCTGGAGACTCTGGCCTTCTGGAGATAAGAAACAAATGAAAGATAAGCAGGTAAAATTTTTTTCTCGATAGTTTGGGACATTTTCCTCGATATTATGAACTGTGACTTAAAAATTTTGTTTACCTGTTTATTAGGTATACAGAGATCTATCCAATGTAACACAACAAAGTTTGGAGACTGTAAAGTGTAACTTTAAATGGGTAGAAGAGCAATTGGATTATGTTATTGAAGCACCCACTCCATTAGTTATTATACTTATGGGCTCACCATCTGACGAGGGACATTGCCGAGAAATTGCAAAGTATGCTACAGCATTAGGTCTAAAACCTCAACTTCGAATCTGCAGTGCTCATAAGGGTACTGAGGAAACTCTAAATATTCTTGCTGAATATGAAGGCAGCGGAGAAAACGTACGTTTAAAATTTCATCTTTTCACATCTCATTATAATAAATTTTCAATAGATTAGGTGAAATGTAGGTTTTCGTCGAATATTAGTTTTTACTAAATCGTTGTCAAAATTACGAAAATGCTTATATATGATTAATAATTATTATTGGTAATCATAAAAATATTACTAGAGATAGCATATGCAAGTCATTTGAATATCTTTTTTACACAATGCTGATGATAGCAACACAATATTGCGCAATTTTATCGTGATATTTATCATTACGACATTGGTCACTAATTTGTGATATCAAACGTGCTAGCAAAGGATGACTGTATCAAAAATTTGTACTGACCCTCGAAGCGATCTGCGTTATCCTGTTATGTTTTAATCACAAAATTTGTTACGATAAAGAAAATGATATAGCTATAAAAAGATTATTTATTTCCATTTATCACAAGCTTCTTATTTCTTTTTTTGTAGGTGGTACTGATAGCGGTAGCCGGTCGCAGTAATGGTTTGGGTCCAGTACTCTCCGGCAATACGGTCTTGCCTGTCATAAATTGCCCACCTTTGAAGTCAGACAATATTGAACGAAGCGTGTGGTCCTCGCTTGACGTTCCTTCAGGTATTTTACATAATTTGTATTCACAGTAATTGAATTTATCTTCTGAAATGTAAAGTTAAATTATATTTATAGGACTTGGCTGTACGACAGTCATACATCCAGAAGCAGCTGCACTCGCGGCGGCGCAAATCCATGCGATGCAGAATCACTTGGTTTGGGCTCGTTTGCGAGCGAAGCAACTTTCCAACTTCATAAATTTAAAACGAGCCGACGTTGAATTACGGAAGTTGTGAGCAGTGATCCGGCTAACGAAACAATAGCAATTCATTGCTTTTTCAAGAGTCTCATGGATACAGTGCAAATACAATCGTGAAAAGAACTGTACATGTTTACACATATTTTAGTGTATTCATTCATTTTGAATGCTACTATTGCTAAAGCACTTTGTAGAAAGCAATTGTTTTTTATTTTTTTCTTCATACGTATTTGCCCATCCATGCGGATCAAAATACAATACTTATCTCATTAAAGTAACAGTGCGATTGTGCCATAGATTGTGATACGACCTGAATATTTTTGTACCAATGATCGCGTTAACTCTTTTCGTATATACTCTACTGTTATTGATTCTAGTAATACTTTACTGGTTTCAAGTATGCAATATTCGTTTATTTCCACTTAAACAAATTTTCGAATAATATAAGAAGTTTTCTTTGTATGAATTTATACTAAAATGTATGTTATCTAAAATATGTTATCTAAAATAAAAGAAGTGCCAAGTATTGAAGGTCTCTACGTATTATACAATTTTATTAGTTTGAATCCTTATTAAATAAGATAATATATAACTTTATAATACACAGGCATATATGTACATAGAGTCATGTTGTACAAAGCAATTTTTCGACATAATCATCTACGAAATAAACGCGTCATAGTAAGTGAAAGTCGGGTTTGGAAGAATATAAAAAATTCAATTATTTTATATATGTATAAAAAATATATCTAGATTGTATATTCGAAAGCAAAGACTCCCTTATTTTCATATACAATTAATGCAATTGTCCGCGTATTTACTCCCATATACTTATACTTTTTATATATATATGTAAATAAAAAATAGAAGCATATTGTTTTACTATGTACATTGAGAGTATTAAACTGACTTCTTGACTTTTAGCTTGCTAGAGCTTCGATTTCCGCTACCTCCTTTGGACAGTTTTTCGTCAAGATTTCTGGGCCATTTTCTGTTACTAAAATATCGTCTTCTATACGTATACCTAAACCATGGAAGTGTGACGGTGCGTAAGGAGTCTTCGGATTTATGTACACACCTAAAGTAATGAAAAAAAACATAAATTAATTTACAAATAGTTCTTTGTCTTTAAGACAAATATAAAGCATTCAAGTACCAGGTTCCATTGTAATTATCATTCCAGGCTGTATCTTTACGCTTCTGGATATTTTTCCTGTGTCGTGCACATCCATTCCAAGATAATGACTGACATGGTGCGGACAGTATGCGTATGCAGCTGCTAATAATTTACTTTCCTCTATATTCTTCGGTATCACGTTAATTTCTTGCAACCGTTCTCCCAGAAGAAAACACATATGGCGGAATGCATTATCCAACGACGGCATTTCCTTCAGGCTCTTTATCAAGTTTTTTTGCACATCGAGTACTATTTCATAAAGAACTTTTTGTTCCGGCGTAAATTTGCCGCTAATTGGCCACGTCCGCGTTATATCGGATGAATATCCGTGATACTCGCAACCTGTAAGTGGACAAAAGCGTGCAAGAAAGTTTCAATTATGTACTAATTAAAAGATCCATTCTTTTCAGCTGAATTTCTTGAATCCACATTACGGAGGGAAAAAAAGAGAAAAGATGAACGGTGCAAGAAGTTCAGTTAAAAGAATAGGCCTATAGTTCTACATATCTCAGTACATACCTGCATCCATCAAAACTAAATTACCGCTTTGTATAATTTGATTATTATTGATATAATGTATTACATTTGCATTCCTGCCCGCAGCTACGACGGGAGGATACGCCAAGTATTCCGCCCCGTGCATACGACATTCATAATCTACAGTAGTGAATAACTGATGCTCGCTCATCCCTGGCTTTGAAGATTGAATTGTTTTTACAATAGCATCAGAAGCAATTCTACAGCTCTCCCGCATTAAATCGATTTCGCAGGCGCTCTTGATCAAGCGAATTTGATGAAACAAAATCTTGGGGGAAGCAAAGATTTGATTGTCTGTCAATTTAATCAATTGACACAACTTCTTATGCAAGATCGGTTGAACAACATCCGCATGATCATACCATACAATGCTGCCTTTGTCTTCTTGTATGAGTGCTGCTAAAAATTGTTCAAATTCTGTAACTGGCAGACTGTAATCTGTGCCAAACATTTCTGTCGCCATTTCAACGCCAGTTCTTGGGCCATCCCATAATTCTGAATGTTCATCTCTTGCTCTCATAAATAAAGTATAAGACGATTTATCTTTTCTACATGTAAGAACTAGAATACTATCAGGTTCCTGACACCCAGAGAAGTACAGAAAGTCTGTATTTTGCCGAAAGACATATGGTATCTTGTCAGACATGTAAACCTTGGATGACGCAGGTATGACGACTATTTGTTGCCTGTGTACATTCTTGGCATTTGCCATTAATGTAACACACTCCACTAATTTGGAACGTCTTCTCTTAAGTTCCTGAAGCGATATACCTGGTAGTACCTCGCCACGCTTTATCAAGTGTGAATGCGTTGCTGACGTCGGTTGTCCACATGCGTGTGGGTGAGCACCTCGTGTGCATTCTGTCTTCGTTAGATTACTTTTAAGTGTAATTTTCGTCGAGAAACATGCCAGTAATTGACAACCTAAAATTACATCAACAATTAACCAATGCATCACATTAACTTTTTTTCAACATTTTATAGATAGAATATTAAATTTATTACAATTTAATAATAGCAATTTTCTTTCAAATTGGAATATTATTGGCATGAATAAGTTTCTTACCAAATTTATTCGGATTGTATCTCAGCGAATATTTCATGCCACTGAACATATTTCAAATATTTTTGGTAGTTAGACGCTCACTGTGAAATTTTATTTTGTACCTTGTTCACTTCGGACAGCGTAATATTTTGTAACATTCAATGTAGAATTTAACCTATAAAATTTTGACCGAAAGCAATATGTACAAAAGGCAGTCACCATTGGACTTGCACAGCTGATATGGAATCACCAATCATGTGTTTTACATGAAAGTTGCCATATTGCTTCATATTAACGCAATAAAGGCCTGTTCTTTTGGGTTGGATTTTTACCAGTTCATCTTTCTTCCTCTTCTTTCCTCTTGGAGAGAAAAGGAAGAAAGATAAACTGGTGCAAAAGTTTAGTAAAAAAAAAAAAAACAGGTCTCTTGACATTTCTGGCATATACATACATTACGCTATAAGATAGGATTAGAGAATTTATGATTTATAGAAAAAAACTTAGAAAATGAAAAAGCTATTCAGAACAGTTTTGTCACATTTTACATAAAAAGTTATCATATAATTATTAAAATATATTACAATTATAATACATAGTTGTAATATATTATTATATAATGTGTTAAATAATTTATATCCATTTATATTATTAATGTATAATTACGTTATATATAATTTTATTAAACGTTACCTTATTATTTTTTATTAATTTTCAATGTATTGGAAATAAAATTAAACAGAATTATCTATTCGACTTACTCTTATATTTATCCTAATATCTTGCAGTATTCAATTAATATCTTAAGTATTTGCTGCATTGTACAAAATGTATTTCTTGATTTCACTTCGTATACTTCGATTTTACATGATAACAAAACAAACACTTTGCTATCTGGGATTTATCGTTTAAAATATTCATACGTTCTTACATTTAACTTTGCTAATTTCAAGCATAGCAGCATTTAGCATGCAGTAATCTAGTATAATGTAAATTTCAAATTCGCTATCAATCAACAGCTGTGTTTCAAAATTTACTGTCGGTACTGAAAATCTATACTGCACATAACGTAAACTGTAGATTTTTTGGCAGTAAATTTTGGAACACAGCCTAAGTGTAATGAAAGTGAGTAAATTCTCTATAAACCTCGTTTTCTTTCGCGCCAACGTGGTCACGTGATCGCGGGGCGAGCGCAAAACGGTATTGGAAATCGTGATTGAAGGGAAACAGCTGATCTTGGATAAAAGAATGTCCGATGTTCGGACTGGTCCGGACTGTCAGGAAAAGTGGAAGATCTTGTGATAATAAAAATCTCGCGGTCGTACGTATTCTTTGACACGTGTGAAATGTCAGATGGACGACGACGAGCAGCATGTAATCATCGTTAATATATCGCGCACTGAGCGCGGTCGATTACCGCGCTATCGCGCGAATATTGGCGACACTAGTTTCGTAATAATCGGTGGGTAATCAAACAGCCGATCGACTATCTGGATCGGAGGTGAAACAGATGAAAATCTTTTTGTGTGTTTGTTGAATGCATGGATGTGTGCGCGTCAAAATAACGTTATCGTCATGTCACGGTGCTCCGTTGAGTTTTTAGTCGCGATTGGTGAATTGACAGCGATGAATGTTTACAGATGGTGACAGACGAGGACTAGAGGACGAAACGGGCGGCAAAGGTAGAAACTCCGGTAAGCCGCCTCAAAGTGCGCTATCGCTAACCTCGTCCTTCTCCCGTAATCGAATTCTGCGCCCAAGAATAATAGTCGTTTAACAGTCTCGAGAATTCGTCCGAAGGAATGTTCTCTTGTCCTTTTTTTTCCTTTAATTAACGTTGAGTTCAAGCTCAAGAGTTTGAGAGAGAGAGAGAGAGAGAGAGAGAGAGAGAGAGAGAGAGAGAGAGATAGAGAAAGAGACTTAAAAGATAATAAAATTAATCAATCTTGCGACAGTATTTTCTATTTATTGATCCGCGGAGAGACAAATTAACAACCGTCATGCGATTGCATGGAGGCGAGAAAAGGAAACAGTATTTTCAAAGGAAATTATACTATTATTTGTAATAGAATCTCCTAAAAGAGAGAGAGAGATCCATTTGTATGAAAGTATTAACGGATCTGGCTATACATTGGAAATCTTTATGAATAAGATTGTAAACAAGATGAGCAGCCAATTAAATATAACAGTTAGGCCAGAAGTAAGATTGGACGCTAAGTGGTTGAAGACTGACCTACAACGATTCCTTTATCGCGATGGACTGGCTGAATTGTGGAATGAGATGGTACGAGATGGTGAAATTGTTGGTTCTTTCAGTGATGGTTTAGTCAATGCTGCTGGAATAGTAGCAAAAAAAGGTAAATAAATATAGAAATAAATAATGATAGAAATATAGGAATAGATTTAATCTATATTAAGTTTTCTTATGTCTGTCTCCAAAAAATATATTATCTCTTTTTTGATAATAGGAAAAATTTAAAAAGATTTAAGAAGTTGTAAACAAACAGTAATTCTATTAGTATATTAATATTAATTTTTAAAAGATTTTTTATTAATTTTGTGTGTATATTTTTCAGGTGAAAATGGCCATTATTATTGTGGTATGAGAGTGTTGTCTTGTCTTTGCTGTGATGGAATTTGTGGCCCGCAACATGGCTGTAATTGTACTCTATGCCAGAAACTGGACGAGGAAGAAACTGCAAGAACAACAGCGATAATCGAAAAGTCTATGTCTGCTAAGCGGATAATGGACTCGTGGGTCTGGGGACCCCAGCCATGTAAATATATTTATATGATGTTTTATTTGTTTCAAACTACTTAAATTCTAATTTGAATTTTTACTTAAATTATTTATTCTGCTAAAATATATGCAAGCAAACGTTTTACTTAAACTATGGATTTTATGTCTTATTTTATATTTATTATAAATAAATATAAATAATTTGAATTTTATTGTTTACATGAAATATCAGTATCGCAAATAATTTATTATATTTTCATATATACTTGTATGCACAAATAATAAATACTAACTATTTTTATTGTTTTACTAAATTTCTATTGATATTTATTTAATTACGTTCAGCTTTAACAGACTTGAAGGGATGCATCGATTTATCGATTAAGGAGCAACGGAAGCTATGTTGCGAAGTCGCAAATAGTACATTATCCGCTACACGTTTGAGGCAACGCTTGATAGTCGCTCGAAGATACTTCACTGCTTTGTCTCGTCATAAACCACAAGAGATCAAAGATACCTCAAATTTACCAAAGTCTATCGGAAAATTACAAAAAACGTTGAGTATAAAATTATGTATAATATGTAGCATGTATGATTATATAATAAGTCATATTTATGTTGCAAATCCTATTACATACAGCACAGGTCAAATTTCCTAAGTGATTTGTTTTCTCGTGCACACATTATATGCAGAGTATCGAAATACAATTATATGTTGATCTTCTTCAGAGTACGTTATTTTCTGTGTGTTTTGTTCGAAATAATACTTTAAATCATTCTTATAAATGCTTAAATTTTTGTTAATCGCAGACCGAGACCTAATGAAAAGGCGACCTTAGGATTAGCGCGCGTTGGTTCACGCGCGGCCCTCAATTTCTCGTTCGCGTACTTAAGACGGGCTTGGAGATCTGGGGAAGACGTTGAATTTTGTAGCGAATTATTGACCGAATCATTGGAAGCATTGCAATCGTTACCGGAGGCGACTCTTTTTGATGAGAGTAACGTTTCTCAAGTCTGGTTGGAAGTCGTAGAAAGATCAGCGAAATTCTTAAGACAAGTCGTCACAGGGTATATACATCTTGCTTTTATAAGTTCATACACATTTCTTATACAACGAATAGACATATGTGTTATTTATTTTCAGAGAGGTAACTACCGGACGATCGTGGCGTCCAGTGCCATTGTCAGATCAGCACACGGCTCTTTGCTTGTTACTGGAACTGGTTGCGCAAAGGGCTACTCTTTCTAGTTTATTAGATTCCGTGGTTTTATTACTTCATCTCAGTGGTAAAAATAAAAATCAAGACAATCGAGTTACACCACCTGGAAGCACAGCACCACTCGTTCCACTATTACGACGATTGAATATGATACCAGCGACAAAATCTCGCAGACATCTTGACAGAAACGTTACGCCGGGTCCCTGCGAAGTGTTACTTAAATATTTACGATTGCCAGACGACGACGCCGTATCAGTCGACTTGAGAAAAGCCGCAGTTATTATAATGTGTAATTTAAGCAGATTGGCCGCTCCTCTTTTACCACCTGCTAGTACAGAGTATGGAGTATTTCTTAGGAATGGAAATGGCAAGCAAACATTTCAAGAGGTATTAGCTTGGGGTGGTGTCAAGTTTGGAAATGGCTCTACCCCCTTTTACTGCGATGCAATTGCGGAATTGGGCATAAAGCAGTTGTGCTGCACTGAGCGAGCATTAATGATCTTGTCGTTGAATGGCAACGTTTACAATATGTATCACGGATCCGAAACTCAATATCCGCAAAGAGTGCACGGTTTTTCCGATAAGCCGATCGCGATGATTGCATCTCACGCAGATGGCAAACATTACTTAGCGTTAACGCAAGATGGCTGTGTGTATTCCTGGGGTAATGGAGACGGCGGTAGGCTTGGACACGGTGATACCATCTCCTACGACGAACCGAAATTTATCGAAGCACTTCTAGAGAAGAATATCATATTCATAGCATGCGGCAGTACGTATTCAGCAGCATTAAGCGCCAACGGCGAATTGTACACCTGGGGAAGAGGAAATTATGGTAGATTAGGCCATGGTAATTCCGACGATGTCATGACTCCGACATTAGTGACAACGTTGAAGGGCCACACGATCGTACACGTGGCCTGCGGTAGTGGTGACTCTCAAACCTTGTGCGTGACCGCGTCCGGCATAGTCTTCTCTTGGGGAGACGGTGATTACGGGAAACTAGGTAGGGGAGGCACAGATGGATCCAAAACGCCAAAGATCGTCGATAAGCTACTGGATATTAACGTGGTAAAGGTGTTTTGCGGCAGTCAGTTCTCCGCGGCATTGACGGCTCACGGAGAAGTGTACACATGGGGAAAAGGTGATGCATATCGCCTAGGCCACGGCAGCGAGGAACACGTCAGATATCCCAAAGTCATCGAATCGTTGAGAGATAGAAAAGTTAAAGATCTGTCTGTAGGCACCACTCACATATTGGCCCTGACGGAAGATCAATTTGTTTACGGATGGGGTAGAA